CATAGAGGTAACTCTAAGACTAGTAGGTCCCGAAGAAAAGTGCTCAAGTTTTTGGCTCAGCTCTGGTACTATCTTCGGTCCCAAGCTAATCGATGCACCCCTCGAAACATAGAAAAATCCACGAACCCCTCATTTTATCTGTCAAACTTTCATAGAAAATCAAAACAAACATGGTGGTGCTAGTGTCGCTGCCCATCGACGTCGATGACCGGCAGACGGCATCTTAACATAAATGTCAAAATTGTTGTGAGCTAAACATTGTTTGTTTGGTTCGCAAATAAACAAGGAGTTACCAAGCGAAAATCTTTTCACAATTTGCCTAAGGATGCGGAATTGCCCGAACTACAGGAGATTTTCTTCTCACGTGGAGTCTAAGCGCTTGCAACGAAAAAGTTATGGTCCGACCACTTCCCCTGGAGGCTTTTCGAATTCCTGGAAGAACGGATGCAGGGTAAGCAGTGTTCAAATCTTACCACATTTTTCTGAATTTAAACGAGGGCTAATTGGAGTTCACACCCTCACTGAATCATTTAAAGATACGCCGGCAGTGAACTCAAGAAAAGTCAGTTTTGCTCCTGACTACTATCAACCGGTGGAAAGTAACGACTTTAAATTGGCTTACTACTTGACTAGCCTATTGGTCCCAAGCAAATCGATTAACGTACTCATTCAAGTCGAAATTCTTGTACTACACTATGTTTGTTTTGATTGGCTATGTATGTTTGACAGATAAAATGAGGTGTTCGTGAATTTTCCTATGTTTCGAGGGGTGCATCAATTAGCTTAGGACCGAAGATAGTACCAGAGCTGAGCCAAAAAGTTGAGCACGTTTCTTCGGGACCTTCTGGTCTTAGGGTTACCTCTATGGTAATATGACATGCACTAAACTAAGGACACGGGATATACTACAATAGATCAATTTACTGGTCGCAGTAGTGTTAGGCCCCGAACAGAGGAAAAAAACGTTCCTTTTCCTTAGTGTACCCAATAAATTCAAATGTTCATCTTATGCTCAACTCAACTATAACTTTGATAAATTTTAGCAACCGTCAATGTAATTTATTTAGGGCAAATGATGGCTTCGGCAACCAAAATTTAAACATTAATTTCGCTGTATTTTCTCACCAAAACACTTCACTGAATGTATTCAAACGATTCCTTAGTCTTTCAGCTTCAATCTGATTACATTTTTACGACTGAGCAAACCTGTTATGTCAGGTTTTTCTTCAAATAAAATATACGCAGTACAAAATACGGCTGATTTCGAGTTGCCGATAATAGAACAGATGGTTAACGCGTAGTTCAAATGGAAAGGCTGCCGATAATAGTCACACTCACCTGAGAAGTTTGGAGCGTTGTAAAATCGTTTTCAAACCGTTTTGGACAATTTTGCCGATTGTAATGGATAGAATAGCAAGCAGCAGATAAATGTAAACAAACAACTTCGTCATATGTGTGTGTGTGAAGCTGAGAAATTTCTAATAGAAGTGTGGATGCTGTTTAGATTGACGAGAATTCGTAAATTCCCCTACATCTTTTAGTCATCATCATAAATGCACATACATTTAACTTGTGAACCCCAGAGTAGGCGATAATATAGGTGGCTTTTACCGAAGACAACAAATAAAGAAGAATGGCAACTCTTCCATTTTCTCATACGAACGCTATGAGACAGGTACAATCGCGTCATCTGCCGCTCAAAGGTAAATGCTTCGAACGAAGTTGATAGCAAAGATTACTGCCTATAATCGCATACCCATATGGATTTTCGTCAATTTTGAGATACCAACGTTATCCACTATCAATTGGCATTTACTTTCATATTGCGTACTACGGACTTGGATCATGAAAAATGTGAAAACAATATCAATTCAGTTTGTTCCATCAAGCAAAGTAATCGCATATCAGTCCCATTCTGAAATACAAACGTCCAGAGGTCAAGTTACAGTTCAGCTTTTTGAGTTGCCATATTTTTCGCTGATATAACAACACATGCAAGCTCGAATGCAACTGATTTTAATATGGAAAAGTTATTAATTAATTTACAATGCTTTTTCAAATATGTACATGGGAATTGCTTCCACCTTCACTCAGGCCCAGCGCTATTGTATCGGTCACTTGGATTCTGGCAAAGTTGCCAGTCTTCTTGATATGATGTCTTCGCTCTTACACAGAGGAACATGGTTCAAATCTAGGTTGAAAGTGCTTTATCACATTGTATAAGATTTTGCGGTGGTGTTTTTGAAGTCGATAAAGAAGCAAAAAACTTCCTAAATATGTCGATAATGAAGAGCAATTCATTTAACAAACATTTTAAAATATAGTTTTCCCAACAATAGTTTACTTGAATCAACACAATTAAAACACAGTTGTATTTTGAAGTTCACTGAGGCAAATAGACTTAAGAATTTTATTAGGTTCGACTTATGAACAACACATATGAATTTCATAAGCGTGACTTATGAATGATTTTCGGGTAACATGAGGTAGCTCTTATACGCCTTTAATCATTCCATTTTTCCAACCATTGAAAGACGAGTGGTCAACATAGGGCCCCGTAATCTCATTGTCCATGGTTCGGTTCAAGTCTGCTCCGATTTATTATTTTTTGTCAATTATTTTTTTTCATAAGGCAAATCAATGAAGTTCATACTGATTTCTTGTGGCTAAAATTCATAAGTGTTTGTTATGGAATTCTTAAGTTCTTTTGCCTGCGTCGTGTTTGATTGAAAAATATAGATGAGCCAACTATGGAATATAATTGTTGCCCTCTAAAGCCCTACCAATTTAGAATAGGTACGCTTTCAATCGCATGTATCGCCGAATCTGTTTGGTTTAGAATAAAACGTTGTTAGAAGAAAATGTGATGTATTTATTGTAGTTTAAAGATACAATATGGGTTTTGCGATTTTTATTCCTCTCGAATTAAAATTTGAACTTTGCGCTTGATACGTGCCATCAACTTCTGCACAAGCTGGTGGTCAACCTCACCGGCTGCTTTTTGCCAGTATCTGGCCATTGAAATAGCATCCTCAACCATTTTTCCGCCCTTCTTCAGCATTGATGATACATTTCGAATCGGCGGTTTGGGGGGTTCACCCCTTTCTCAATGACGTCTATCAAATTATCGCGAGACCACGCACTGTTGCGCATTCTTACTGTAGTGGCAACTCGCCAAATCTGGCCAAAACTTAGCGGGGCCCCGGTGGGACCTAATGAACGACAATACACGTTTTTTCAGGCATTCGTTGACTGTTCGTCCATATTGTTGGTTATGATGAAATTCGGAGTCTTCTGGCCACAGCTGCATATTCCTTGCTAGATCATCAGCTTACCGGGAAATTTCTATTTCTTGGGAACATCTCCGCGACCCCTGAAACATAAAACTTCTGTCTCGGATGTTGACATACTTTCATCGTTCATAAGAATGCATCCGTTGAATTTGGTTAGCACCTGGTCATACAGCTTTCGGGCCCGCGTTTTGGCCGTAATGTTTTGCTTTACATTTGGTTCGGTTGCTTAAAAGCCCGATACTTGAAGAAACCGAAGCACCGAGTTTGTTGGCCACATTCACGTCCGAAAGTCCTGGATTTGCTTTGGAAGCCTTCATGTCGTTCTGACGCAGTTTCCGGTCCACTATACCGGTTCGACGCCTTGATTGCACCTTCAGGGAAACAGACAAACGTTCCTTGAAACGTTTCAGCGCTGCACAGACGATGGTTTTGGCTATTTTTAACTCCATGCGACCATTTCGGGTTTTCATATCTTTTGTGCAGAATTAATTGTAAAACTTTTTGTAAAATTTTTGCACTGGACTTCAAGAGAAAGACATTGTAAACAAATTTCTGTCAAAAGATTCCAGACCCGACCATTAGGAGCGCTGTACCAGACAAAAAGAAGTGTACCGATTCTAAATTGGCAGAGCTTTATATTTAGTAAAATTAAGTATAGTTTCGAGTTATCTCTAAAACAATTGAACAATATAGTTATTCTAGCCAGACATACGATTGCGTCTAATATGCTTTGTTCTCCGTGGTTTTAGTTGGGCTCCCATTAGTTGTAGCCACACAAAGATTTCATTTTGTTTTTTTAACACATACAAAATTTATTAAAATATAGAATATGCTGTGTCAAAATTTATTAACTAGTGAATTAGTTGAAGTCAGTGTTAATTCAAATAGTTAAGGTTAAATGTTTTACATTATACTTGTGTGGTAATATAAGCTGCTTGATTGCTGAAGTATTGAGATCATTGCTATATGGTCCATATACAATTAACATACAATATGAACGTACTTGTTTGTTTTTCAAAGTTAGAACATATATTAACCTCAATTTTCTAATTATTATTGGATGATTTACCAACGTGTTACAAAACTCCCTACCTATATATTAGAATTGGTAGTGCATAAATCATGCCACATTAGTACAATCACGGCTTACGATAATCTATTCGCACCGAATGTTAAGACAATAGATTGACGATAATCAAACAATAAAACCATAATATTCCTACTAACCCCACCTGTTTTTCGATGCCCTTTCGTCCGAAAGCGGTTGTTTTAAATGATAGTTTTCTTTCTCGTTTTTCCACCTATGTAACTTCTATTCAATCTTGTGATTAATTCGGAAATATAAAAATCTTGAGTGTGAAACTATCACCGAATGATTGTTTTGATTGTAACTTAAAACCATGTTGTGTCATCTATCGTTGTTGTTGTGTAGAGAAAAGTGAAATGTATTATAATAATATAAATGAAGAAGAAAGCCTTAGCAAAAGATGAAATATAGCACTAAAGCCGGAAATATATATCACATTTGTTGTGAGCATTAGCGAAAAAAAAAGCCAATCTCAGTCTTTTCTATTCAATTTATGTTATTACAATACATTTGATTCGTTTTATTTTTGGACTTAATTTTTTTATCTATTTTATTCCGATCGTCGGCTAAGGCTTGGAACTAATTGTGTAATTTCTCAACCCCCCCTCGCCCCTAAACAGATACCAAAACCCTCCATTTCGATGCCAAATTCGGTGTCCAATCGACCGGGATTCGAAGATGGCAATGACAACACTAATGCGTCGCCAGCAGATCAAGCCCAGTCTCAACAGCAAGGCCAACCAAGCGGTTCATCCGGGAAAACGGCCAACGAACCAACAAAGAAGGCACCTCCCGCCAAGGATGGTAAACTGATCGGAAATGCCCAGAGGTAATGTAATTTGTTAGTCACTGCTTTTTAAAAAAAAAAAATATTCAACCGTTGTTTTTCTCGCAGCAATTCCGGTTGGTTCGGTGGAATATGGAACAAATTATCGTTGAAACCAAAAAATCAAATGATTCTTCCTGATGATAAGAACCCAACCGTAAGTATTGATTTTGCTGCATTACAGGATTTTAGTGGTCGATTATCATACTGTCTTCTAGATCGTGTGGGATCCCGAGAAGAAACGCTGGGTAAATAAGGATGGGGACGAGGCCGGGGAGGAAGCGTTTAAGCCACCACCAAAAATGTCAGACTTAATGCCAGGTGGCCCAGCACCTCCACCAGCTCCAATTATGGCTGCGCCGGTTGCAGCGCCAACAGCAATGTCAATGACCGCTGTTCCTCCTGGACCAACACCAACCGTTGGTGGTGGCAACTACGGAGCGGCAACTTCATTGAATGCTGATCCAAACGGTGCTCAAAATCCTACTCAGACGCAGGTTCAGCCTGTAGGCCACATGCCTGCCGCACCGGCCTCAACGAAGATGGGCGAACCGACTAAAGTTCCAACGCTACAGTCCAACATGTTCAAAATGCAGAGGAACCGAAGTGCGTAATTTGAAACTCTGTTTAACTAACAATTATGGTAATCTATAAATTTAAAAATTTCTTTCTCAGCTTTGAAAAACTCTTACGTGGATGTGTTCAACCCGTCCGGTGCGGCACCTAGTCGGCCAGCGGAAGCTATAATGGCACCTTCCGTTCCTGCTATGCCGACACCGCAGGTTGGTTACTTCGTACCAGGAGGGGCTCCGGCCGGTGGGCAAACCAACGAGAGTTCTGCAGCAGAGGTATGTTAATGCTGTTTTGAAGCGGTCCACATCAAAGAGGGATTTTTGGAAATTGGAAAGTCTTTGAAAAATCGGATTGTACTCAATATTGAAGAACCTGTGGACGCACATTTGCCCCATGTGTATGTATAAACCTCCATAACACTTGGGACAAATATGCGTCGAACGGCAGTGTAGCTAATCGAATACAATACAGTAGTTAGTAGTAATCCTATATACAGATTCACGGAATTATAATCAGACGATCTGGCAACGTGATTTGTTCTGTTCACAAAAGCTGCCAACACTTGCCACAGAACAAAATATTCCAGCTTTGTGCGTGACTTTACCACCGACAAACCGACATGAAACTTAAACTTAACTCTTGATCGAGAATCTATAACGGCATTTTCAAATGTGCAGCGAGCCCATCTGTCAAAACCATAGAAATTTTCTATCTAGATTAAAATAATTAGCCCGGAATAGATTAGACACGAACCAACTCATACATTTTGCATGCGTGTTCGTGACTAGGATACCCATTGTGTTAGAGATGAACTAGCCTAAGGCTAAAAATCTCTTAAATAAAGAATTAAAAAAAAAAAAAGGATACCAATTGTTCGCGAACACGGCGGCAGATGTCAGTTTTGTGCTTTGATCAGAAATGTGATGGTACTTTGTATGGTCATTCATGTCGGTTTGTCGGTGACTTTACCGTTGTCTACGGTGTGAGTTTGTTGTCTTGCGGTTATTTTTCTCATTGACGTTAAATGTAATCGCAAGTCAGTCCCACTCAGATTTTGGCCATAAAATAGAAATTTCACGATATTTTTTCCAATATTTTTCGGTAAACATAGATGCATTCTATCACATTGTATGTTTCTTTTTAAATTTATCACTCCAAAATAAGTGTCAAATCAGAAAACTTGAAACATCTTTGAACGCCGTTTACTCATTTCCAGATTTTTACAGATGGGACTGACTTGCGATTATGGGCAGAGAAGGTCCCGGAGAAACGTGCACAACTTTTCGGCTCAGCTCTGGTACTATCTTCGGTCCCAAGCTATTCGATGCACCCCTCGAAACATAGGAAAATCCATGAACCCCTCATTTTATCTGTCAAACATTCATAGCGAATCAAAACAGAAATAGTGTAGTACTAGAATTTCGACTAGAATGGGGTACGTTAATCGATTTGCTTGGGACCAATAGGCCAATCAAGTAGTGAGCCAATTTAAAATCGTTAGTTTCCACCGGTTGCTTCTACCGCTCTGCTCTTCGTCCTGTCATTGCTTATCTAGCTGCTTCCCAGTCTTCGGCTTGGGGGAAGATGCTATCCGGTGTTCCTCCGTCTTACAAAGGAAGCAGTCATTCTTATTATCATCATAGAATATATTCCACTTCCGATTGAGGAAATGTAGCGATGTGTGGATTTATTTTTTCACATCCATGTATAGTATACATTGTATACACCACGTACACCTTGTGTACATGTCGAAGCACAGCTCAGCTGGAAATTTCTCCCGGATTACACGCTTTACTTTCTCATATAGTAGCGTAGTATCAACAATCAATACTAAACTAACGATTTTAAATTGGCTCACCACTTTAGTAGCCTATTGGTCCCAAGCAAACGATTAACGTACCCTATTCTAGTTGAAATTCTATTACTACACTATGTTTGTTTTGATTCGCTATGAAAGTTTGACAGATAACATCAGGGGTGTGTGGATTCATGCAGAACATGCAGGGGTGAGTGAAATAGCTTGGGACTGCTTGGGACCGTTGTTCTGGTACTGAGTGAGCCAAAAATAATAATGATTTTCTTCGGGACCCAATGGTCTTAGAGTTACCTCTATGGTAGTATGGCGTATAAAGTAGTGTTTTTGTTGAGTAGTGCTGTGAAAATAAATTCATAATTTCGTGTGAAATAGTGGCGTGTGCCGCGAAAGGATTATTCCAACGCGTGCCCGTGGTGTTTTTCTAACAGGATAAGTAGAGGAAAGGTTGCCTAGCAACAAGTTTTTGTTTAATTTTGTATTTCCCCCCCGGCGCGCTATTGCTTTTGTATAGTGAGCTGTGGCGGTAAAATTTTATTTTGTGTTCTCCTCCCCTGTATATGTCTGCTGCTAACAGTGTTAGCGTTTAATTTGGTAAAATGGATGTGTGTAATGTATGCGAGCAGTCTATTGCTATGAGTGGGCTCCCAGTTACATGTGTAGGTCCGTGCAATGGAACGTTCCATTTCGCTTGTGCGGCACTCACGAAGACTGCGGCGAGGCTTATAGCAGATAATGCAAATGTTCTGTTCAAGTGTGATAGTTGTCTATCAGATCAGAGTTGTGACGAGCAGAATGATCTGATCTCGCGCGTCAAAAGGATAGAGGAAGATATGAAGAAGGTTTTTCAACTCTCGGACTCGATCACTGGCATGCGAGATCACATTGCTGCTCAGGTGGACATCGTGGTTAAAAGCGGGATGGCAGATATAAGAATAAATGTAAATGGTCTTGAACATTTAATTTGTGAGAAATTGGATAATATGAAAAGTTCATTCTTTTTAAATTGATGCGAAAAACCAATTAGCTGTAAAGAATGATCAGTGCAGTTCATCTAGGACGATTCAGTCGGAATCGGACCAAAATATCAGACGCAAAAAACGTAAATTAGTAATTAGTCATAGTGATCATGATGATGATGTTGTTTTTCAAGAAAATGCGAGTTTTGCGGATGTTGTAAAAAGACATAGTCGTGTTAGTCAAAGTAAAACTAATAGTAACAGTAATAGTAAAAGTAACAAACCAGATAATCGGAAGACTCGTCCAGTCATTGTGATTAAACCGAAAGAGTCCAAACAACCTTGCGAAGATACTCGTAAGTTTTTGAAAACTCAGTTGGATCCGAAAACACACAAAGTGGAAAGACAACTTGGAGCGTAAAGATACGATTGTTGCTGTTTTTTTTTGGATCTGAAACGCGCTTTTGAAATAATTTCTAGGCCCTTACTGTTAAGTACATTAATCAAGCGCTTTGGAATTACGAGTACTGCATATAAATGGTTTGAAAGCTATTTGTCTGACAGAACTCAACGGACTGTTTTTAATGATTCTGTTTCCAGTCCCGTGGGGAACAACCTTGGAGTGCCCCAGGGAAGTGTATTATGGCCCCTTTTATTTATTATGTATAAAGGGTGATACGGTCAAAATTTGGTCAATATCAACTTGACGTATTTCTTTCAATTTTGCATTTAAAAAACCTGAACACCCCTCATTTTGAAGGTGTGTGTGTGTAGAATGTTGCTCTTATTTTGATTTTGGAATTCACTCTTCAGTTGTCAAAATGCCGTCCAAGCAAGAAGAGCAGCGTATCAAAATTTTGCTCGCGCATCGCGAAAATCCGAGCTACTCGCACGCAAAGTTGGCAAAATCGCTAAAAGTTGCCAAATCAACCGTTACAAATGTAATTAAAGTGTTTGGGGAACGTTTGTCGACAGCCAGGAAGTCTGGATCGGGGGGAAATCGAAAACCGGAAGCCGCTGAGACGACAAAGAGAGTTGCCGGTAGTTTCAAGCGAAACCCTAACCTCTCTCTCCGAGATGCCGCAAATAAGCTGGGTGTATCGTCTACAACCGTGCATCGAGCCAAAAAACGGGCCGGACTATCGACTTACAAGAAGGTAGTGACTCCAAATCGCGATGATAAACAAAATACGACGGCCAAAGCGCGATCCCGGAGGCTGTACACGACGATGCTGACGAAGTTTGACTGCGTGGTAATGGACGACGAAACCTACGTCAAAGCCGGCTACAAGCAGCTTCCGGGACAGGAGTTTTATACGGCAAAAGGAAGGGGAAAGGTAGCAGATGTTTTCAAGCACATGAAACTGTCAAAGTTCGCAAAGAAATATCTGGTTTGGCAAGCCATCTGTACCTGTGGCTTGAAAAGCAGCATTTTCATAGGTTCTGGGACTGTCAACCAAGAAATTTACGTGAAAGAGTGTTTGAATAAACGTCTGCTGCCTTTCCTGAAGAAACACGGTTGTTCCGTACTGTTTTGGCCGGATTTGGCACCTTGCCATTACGGTAAAAAGGCCATGGAGTGGTACGCCGCCAACAACGTGCAGGTGGTTCCCAAGGACAAGAACCCTCCCAACACGCCAGAGCTCCGCCCAATTGAGAAATACTGGGCTATTGTCAAGCGGAACCTAAAGAAGACCAAAAAAACTGCTAAGGGCGAGCAGCAGTTCAAGGCAAACTGGCTTTCTGCGGCGAAGAAGGTGGACAAGGTGGCTGTACAAAATCTGATGGCAGGGGTCAAGCGTAAGGCCCGGCAATTCGGATTTCGAAAAGTGGAAGCCTAACTGAATATTTTTCCTGAATTTTATACTAATTGAACTTGAAAAAGAAATTTAATTTGATTTTTTAAATAAACGATTTCACCGATTTACACGCGTTTTCCCTTGACCAAATTTTGACCGTATCACCCTTTATTAATGACTTGCGACGTGTTTTACGGTTTTGCGACATTAACCTTTTTGCAAATGATACTGTGTTATTCATTGCAGCTAAAGATTTAGAAGTTGCCGTCTCACACTTGAATGAAGATTTGCAGTATCTAAGTAGATGGTTGAAGTGTAAGCAGTTAATATTGAATACAAGTAAAACTAAATTTATGGTAATTTCGCGGAATCGATTAAATGAGAACGTCTCTGTTGTAATTGATGATGAGACTATTGATCGCGTTCAGGAGATTAAATATCTTGGCGTGATTATTGATGACACACTTAAGTTTAACTCTCACATTGACAATGTCATCAAGAAAATTGCCAAGAAGTATGGAATTCTATGTCGATTGAAAAACGATTTAATTATTGCCAGTAAAATACAGCTATACAAATCAATCATCTCTCCTCATCTAGACTTTTGCCCATCCATTTTATTTCTGTCCAATGCAACACAAATATCGAGATTACAGCGCTTGCAGAATAAAATAATGCGTTTGATTTTGAGATGTAATAGATTCACTTCCTCAACTTTGATGCTAGACGCCTTACAATGGTTGTCGGTGAAGCAAAGAATTGTATATTTGACTATGGTGTTCATTTTTAAAGTAGTTAACGGTTTGCTGCCTCGATATTTGTGTGATCGAATTGAAAGAGGAAGTGACTTTCATAGATATAATACTAGAAACGCGGATGAAATAAGAACACCACATTTCTTGACTTGTGCTTCACAGAATTCATTATTTTTTAAAGGAATAAATGTTTTCAATTTGATGCCTAGACACATTAAACGTTCAACAACATTAGCAGAATTTAAGAGACATTGCATTTCACACGTTAAAACTGTCTTTTGAACGGTTATCCAGTGATTTTTTTTATGAATTGACAAATTATGTATCTTGACGAAGTTATTTTTAACAGATTATTTTGTATGGATAGCTGTCATAACGACTTTTTAATAATTATTGTAGCACTGTAAAAACTATTTCTGTTCGCCACGAGGGTGATGATGGATTTTTAATATTTGATTTAATAGTAGATTAATTTAAAAAAAAGTAGTCTACAAAGGTTTGAGCCTCGCGCGCGTATTACGGATATAGAGGACTGAATTTAACATTTGATAAAAAAAAATGCAATTTTGAAGCTTATTTGGAAGATACCTTGAGTTAGTAGTAAGTTTTCTGGCAAATGTTGGGGGTTCGTGAGCATTCCTGACATTACTGAAAATTATGATAGCATCAGATTGCGGGGTTACTAGTGTAATATGATGCTTTGTTGATTGATCATTAACTCTTGATTGCTTGTAATACTTATGAATATTTTAGGTGGACAAAAAAGGCGAACTAAGAGGTGGACGCCTGAGCTTTTCAACATTTATATCGCTGTGAAGCAACTGTAAACTCTAGAGGGAATTTATATCTGTAACTGAAACCAGTTCGATTTTGTTTGCCAACCTGGTTAAAATGTCATATTTAATTATCTTAAAGATAAATCGTCCAGCTCAAACCTTTGTAGGGGTAGAAGGTGGGACCATCATCATCAAAAAAAAAATATATATTTGCCCAGTACTAACGCTAGCTCATGCTCAGAAACCTCCGGTGGTAAGCCATACACACGCGCATATTGAACGTATTCCCAGATGAGACATGCGTACCTGTACCTTACCGAAAAATTAATTTACAGGGGCAGATAATTTGAAAAACTTGTTGTCTAAGCAACTGTTCATTAACTACGTAGACCGTTTTTTTATATTCTTGACGTAGACAATTGTCCATAAAAAAATTAAATTTGTATGGGCCGTGGATAATTGCTCCCCCCCCCCCCTCATAAACTGTCTACGTAGATAATGAACAGCCCCTAATGTGTCATATAAATGAGAAATTGTCTAATGTGCAAGATGAGCTTGAACAGCATGCGCAGCAACCAGTGTTCTTTTATTGGAGATTTTTCTGAAGCCCAATTGAAATAATTTTGCAGCCTAGTGGTTACAGGCATGATCTTAGTTGAAAAAACCGGATTCCAGGAAAAAATTGAATTTTTTTAATCTTGACAAATTTTTTGAAGGTGACGGACTCACTTCTAGACGGAAAGTCTAGATCACAAAGTGGACAAAATCAAAACATTAGTGATTCCGTCAATATCAATTGGGTTGTTTCACTTCGAAAAATATACCAATTTTTATACATTCATCTCGATTTTTAAATCAATATTTAAATTTTTGATCGTTGACACTAAATCTATTCGTTGACAGCTCGATCCCATGCAAAGTCCCACCAAGGGGAGCTAAGATGGTGATTTTTGCTAATGTAATCGTACTTATTTAAAATAGTTCCAGTGTACCAAAATTGATGAAATTTTGGATTTCGGTTCCATTTTTAATGAAGATAACGAATATGTATTTCTAGATAGAGCTGGAATTAGGGCCTAACAGCTTTTGTAAACAATGACTTCTCATGATGATTTCTAGAAATTCAAGGCACACCCACGCAAACCAACATCCTCATCGGGTAGGGAAAGACTTCCCCTACCCGATAAGGATGTTGGTTTGCGTGTGTGAGCCTTGAAAACATTGTTTACAAAAACTGTTAGGCCCTAATTCCAGCTCTATCTAGATTTACCTCAATACCCCTAAACAACCCAATTGGACAGTTATTGTTCCCAGTTGTTCGCTACTCTTCTAGTTAGACTTTACACGCTGATTTTTAATTAATCTTTCTAACACAAATGGGTTACCAAATCGAGCCTTAATTTACCTGTATGATTTAATCTAGGGGCACGCAATAACTCCAACGCAGGCAATGGCTGTAATTAAATTAATTCCATTAACAACTGCTTTAATTACATTAATTACACAATGTAGAACATTAACTACCTTTTAACAATATTAATTACAGTTGAAATTTCGTAATTAAAGTACATTAATTACATTTTCAATACTTTTAATTACATTAATTACGGATGGATAATTTTAATTACCGTCAGTACTACTTCAAAAAGCATTAATTACTTTAAAGTACTTTTGATTGTATGTTAACTTCAACGCACCGGTTCTTTGTTTTGCGTGCCCCTTGGTTTTAATAGTAGTTTGATGCGATTTAGTCTGAACGTTGGTCGTAAAAAACTGTAAGTGACTTTTTGGCTCGCTTTTTGGTGACTTGAAAATAGTGACCTAGCCACTTAAAAGTGACCTGCTAACATCCCTGCTTGGGACAATTGTATTGGCCCATTGAACGTCGAAAACAGCCTTAAGTATTTTAAAATCAAGAGCTAAAAAAAAAGTTATCTCCTTCTTCAATTTTGATGTCCGTGTTTGCGAAATTCGACACTCCTTCGTCTCGAGCAAAAAAAAATGCGAAGAAATTGCTAGACCCCAAATTCTAACTAAGGCTGAAAGCCTCCTAAATAAAGCTAAATAATAATAATAAATTCTAACTAAATCAAATGTATCGTTCTTCTCTTCTTGTCATTCACACAGGGAGTACCTCAGTTCTACAATCCCAACCAGTACGCCGGAGGGTAACAGCAGTAGAGATGCGCGCGCGCGCGCGTCTTTAAGTGTACTAATGTGTAGCCTAAATAAATGAAACAAACATCTACCTATTCTACCCAAGAGACTGCCGACAGTAAAAGTGGCAACAATACTAACACAAACAATGAAAGAAAGCATAACAACATTTAACGTTAAAAAGTCAGCGTGCAAGTCAGTGAAACTGTTGTAGGAGGTTAGATAAAGCTAGGACAGAATGTAAAATTTAGAAACAGCCTTTTTTTCATAGCAGGACAAGGACATATTATAATCGTAACACAATAAATTTCACGATCCAATTTTAGCGACGTGTGGTGCGTTTCTCATCTGTTGTTCATTTTTAACTTCGAATTTGGGACAAAGGAGCGAATTTAGTCAAAATTAATGCGTGTATAATTTTTCTTCTTCTAATTTTTGTATATGTTAACTACGTTTGTGTATATGAGTAATAGTATTTCTTTCGATATAGGGTTTTGATAAATTTGTACAGTATGATTCTGCATATAAACCTATTTTTTTAGAAAAATGATTTACAAAATTTTGTTTAATGTGTGCCTCTTTTTAACATAAGCATGTTTTTTGAAAGAAATGAAACGGATTGGTTGCTTTTTTACGTTTTACGCCGTTGATTATTTTTAGGCAGATTTTTGAAATATTCACTTGGATTTGTGGTATGTATTAAATCGTTTTGTGAAAAGGTTCTATATTTTTCTTTGAATGTTTTCGATTGCTCACTTTAATTTACTTACTGCTCCTAGGACATACATATAATGTACACATGGTCAAGTTTCTTTCATCGTAGTAATAATAGAAATGGAATGAAATAGCACATCCGGAAGAATAATATAGTGAATGCTTTGAAAAAGTATGCAAAGTTGAGTTAGTGAGGTAATGTGATATGTATTATCTTTTATGTATGTTTTATTTAAAGTTTATTTTCAATGCTATAGATTTTTTCCTATTTTCTGATTAGGTGCAAAATGATTCATTTATTTTTCGAAACAATGCATAAGAAAAAGACAAAAAAGGTGAACACCTCGAAACAGTTATTGAAAAAAAAAACAAATATTCTAGGTGATTGCAAAGATAAAAATCCTTCACAGTAGATAGTGATGATGCATCATAGTGAAAAAGGAAATCATGTTTTCTAGTGATTAATGAGCGAAAGATATGTAAGCATGGCAAGTGGTGATCTAGATAAAAAAAAGAAGAAGTGTAATACCCCTTTCTAGTGAAATGATGTGTATGAAGTTTAAAATCAAAATAAAACATCTACCTATTATTCATTAAAGAGCATTTCGGTCTGTGACATCTCCATCTAGAAATATTAGAGAAATTCTTATACCTTGAATGAATACAATTCCACGTTATTCATTCGGCCATGTCAGGCACGACGGAGGCTTCAGAAATAAAATTTGAATCCATCTACGTAAAATCTTCTTTGATATACGCTACCCATAATCTGTATAATGTATAACTTTCCCTGTATATGCCTTAAGCTGTATTCAACTGTTATACGATATGAGGCAACCAGGCATGGACAATCATTTGCATTGATTTCGTGCATTCATTTACATTCATTTGCCTCTAACTTTTTTCTTCAACAGCATTCCGTAAAATGATGTAAAGAGCTTTTGTAGGTTTTGTTATTAGCTACAACTTTTGTTAACAAGTCAAATCCGTATATCTTATGCATGACGAACCAGAGCAAACAGAAGCCACTACTGTTTTTCAGTGAATGTATTTTACATTCACTGAAAAACAGTAACAAGTTCTGCCCGCTCTAGTTCGTAACGCATAAGAGATACAGATTTAAGTTATGAGCAAGTTGTAGCTAATAACAAAACCTACAAAACCTCTATACATCATTTTGCAGAATGCTGTTGATGAAAAAAGTTAGAGGCAAATGAATGTAAATGAATATATGAAATGAATGCAAATGATTTTCCATGTCTGGAGGCAACCTTTACTCAACCTCTATACAAGCAAATCTGGCGAAATTAGTCAGCTCCTTATGGCTGTTGGGATGGTTGGAACAACCCAACAAACAATCGTTTATTGAAGAAACGACTTCTTGGCCATTTTTTATTCAACTGCATGCTTAACAGTACTTGTACTATTTTTAATAATAACTTCTGTTCAGGCTTTGTTCACACAAATCTGGAGAATTTATCAACCACAACATTGAACTACTTGGTGTTGTATAAGGTTGTAGAGAAGCTTTTATTCGACTTATATGAGTTGTAACAGAGTTTATACGATACAATTTTTGATTATTCAGCGTTTATTAGACATCACTGCTTCCTTAAAACAGTGATGCTCTGTATACGCTTGATTCTCATGTGAAGTAACGTTTAATTAGACTTTATTATACATTTATTAAACGATTATTCAACTGTGGGAAAATTAACCCGAAAATAAGAAGGACGGGGAGAGACAGGGAAATGTTGTGTTTCTTTAGTGTATTGTATTTCATTTTTTTTTTTTTTTTTTTTTTTAACTCTTTATTTGTTCTAAATTCAAAATAAATTACATTTCATTTTTAACCTAGGTGCTCCAGTTACTACAGTAACTTACCAGCCTTAAATGTTATGATATATATCTAAGTGTTTTTACATTGTTCCTGTCTTGGCAATTCAGTATTTTAAACAGGTTTTTTTAAACCTGCATGTCAGTATAACAATTGATAGCTTAAAACTAAATAACTAAAACTAAATCTTATCTAAGTATAAAGGGAATTAATCGTTGCAATTGAGGATTGTAACGATTTTTGCCGGAAATTATTAATTATTTTGTTGGACATTTGTGCTAAAGTCTCAACATTCGAAATTCTATGTACTTCGGTAGTACTGTACCAGGGAGGCAACTTCAAAATCATCTTCAGAATTTTGTTCTGAATCCTTTGAAGTGCTTTTTTCCTGGTAGTGCAACAACTAGACCATATTGGCACAGCGTAAAGCATGGCCGGTCTAAAAACTTGTTTAAATATTAGAAGTTTATTCGCCAGGCAAAGTTTGGATTTCCTGTTAATAAGAGGATACAAACATTTTATATATTTGTTACATTTGGCTTGAATGCCCTCAATGTGATCTTTAAAAGTTAATTTATGGTCAAGTATTAATCCAAGATATTTCACTTGGTTTGACCAGGAAATTGGAACTCCGTTCATAGTGACTATGTGACTACTACTAGGTTTCAAAAAGGAAGCCCTGGGCTTATGTGGAAATATTATAAGTTGAGTTTTGGAAGCGTTGGGAGAAATCTTCCATTTTTGTAAATAAGAAGAGAAAATATCTAAACTTTTCTGAAGTCTGCTGCAAATAACACGAAGACTTCTTCCTTTAGCGGAAATGCCTGTGTCATCAGCAAACAAAGATTTGTGGCAACCCTGAGGCAAATCAGGGAGGTCCGAAGTGAAAATGTTATACAATATAGGCCCAAGAATGCTACCCTGAGGAACTCCTGCTCTAACAGGTAGTCGATTAGATTTGGAATTTTGATAATTTACCTGCAGAGTTCTGTCAGTTAAATAATTTTGAACTAATTTCATAATATAAAGTGGAAAATTAAACTTTTTCAATTTAGCAATCAAACCTTCATGCCAAACACTGTCGAATGCTTTTTCTATGTCTAGAAGAGCAACTCCAGTTGAGTGGCCTTCAGATTTGTTTGAACGAATTAAATTGGTAACTCTTAAGAGTTGATGAGTAGTTGAATGCCCATGGCGAAATCCAAACTGCTCATCTGCAAAAATTGAGTTCGTATTGATGTGAAGCATCATTCTATTCAAAATTATCTTTTCAAAAAGTTTACTTATTGAAGAAAGCAAACTTATTGGACGGTAGCTAGAAGCTTCAGCTGGATTTTTATCCGGCTTCAAAATTGGAACAACTTTTGCATTTTTCCATTTATCAGGAAAGTATGCCAAATGGAAACATCTATTAAATAATTTTACCAGGAAAGACAAGGTACTCTCTGGGAGTTTTTTGATGAGGATATAGAAAATTCCATCATCACCTGGAGCTTTCATATTTTGAAATTTTTTAGTTATAGACCTTACTTCGTCCAAATCAGTCCCCCAGGAATCATCAAAAATATTTTCCCGAGAGAAAATATTCCGAAAATCCCGAGCAACCTGATTCTCAATAGGACTAGTAAGACCCAAACTGAAATTATGGGAACTCTCGAATTGCTTAGCAAGTTTCTGAGCTTTTTCCAAATTTGTGATCAAAATTTTACCACCTTCTTTAAGCGCTGGAATTGGCTTTTGAGGTTTTTTCAAAATTTTTGTGAGTTTCCAAAAGGGTTTGGAACTCGGGTCTAATTTAGAAACATTATTTTCAAAAGTTTTGTTCCTCAGGGCAGAGAATCGCTTTTTAATTTGTTTTTGCAAATCCCGCCAGATAACTTTCATGGCAGGATCGCGTGTTCTTTGAAATTGTCTCCTACGGACATTTTTAAGACGGATCAAGAGCTGAAGATCATCGTCTATTATAATTGAATCGAATTTAACCTCGCATTTTGGTACTGAGGCAGCTCTTGCTTCAACTATAGAAGTAGTCAGAGATTCAAGAGCATAATTAATTTCATCTTTGGTTTGCAAAGGAATGTTTGGATCGAAGTTATATTCCATAAATGTTCGATATTGCTCCCAATCAGCCCTATGGTAATTGAAAGTAAAGCTGTTGGGATTAGAAATTATTTCTTGGGATATTTCAAAAGTTACTGGAAGGTGATCAGAACCGAAGTCAGCATGGGTAACCAATTGGCTACAAAGATGACATGAATCAGTTAAGACCAAATCAATAGTTGAGGGATTTCTTGCAGAAGAAAAGCATGTTGGGCTGTTTGGATATTGAATAGTGTAATAACCTGCAGAACAATCATCAAACAGAATATTACCATTGGAATTGCTTTGAGGATTATTCCATGAGCGGTGTTTTGCATTAAAATCACCAATAATGAAGAATTTAGACCTATGACGGGTAAGTTTCTGGAGGTCACCCTTGAGAAAATTCTTTTGCTGGCCTACGCATTGGAATGGCAAATAGGCAGCTATAAACGTAAGTTGTCCAAATTTTGTTTCAACAGAAACTCCCAAAGTTTCAAAAACTTTGGTTTCAAATGAAGAAAGAATTTTATGCTTGATTCGTCTATGAATAATGATGGCAACGCCACCACAGGGTCCATCAAGACGATCATTTCTATAAATCAAGTAATTTGCGTCCTTCTTAACCTTATGGTCAGGTTTAAGGAACGTTTCAGTTATAACGGCAATATGCACGTTATGAACTCTCAAAAAATTAAATAGCTCGTCTTCATTATCTTTAAGAGATCGAGCGTTCCAATTTAAAATGTTTAATGCTTTAAAATCCATTACTGAATTTTAAAGTCATGACAATATTATTAGCAAATTTTACTCCAGTTTGAATAGCATCAAACATGGAGTTAGATTTAAGCATATCAGAAATCATGTCAATTAATGAATTCTGTAAAAATTCCATTTTAGGGGCAGTAATGCTTCCTAAGTCAAAATTGTCAAAATTTCCGTTAGAACGTTGGTTAGTATTTTGATTTCTACCCGCTGCAATAGCAGCATAGGTAGCTCCATTAACTCGCTGAACATTGTTAGCAGCGAGGGGAGTAGGTACAGATGAAACATTTGAAGCAGGGGTGATATTTGTACCTACGGGTACGAATGTAGAATTTGTTCCTCGCTGACCGTTGTTAACAGCAGAGGAATTTGTACCTGTTCGGAAACGTGGAGCGTTTCCTACCTGTCGGTTAGAACGAGATTGTAGGATCGCTTTGCGAGTCTTACATTCCCAAAAATTGGATTTGTGGTTTTCACCACAATTTGAACATTTAAATTTCTTAGGATCTTCCTTCACAGGACAGTCGTCCTTTGCGTGAGAGGAATCACCACAATTCATGCATTTAGCTGGCATGTAGCAATTTTTAGTTCCGTGACCCCATCCCTGGCACTTACGGCACTGAGTGAGGTTTTGGAAATTTCCTCCAGTCTTCCTGAAGTGTTCCCACTTCACTCGGACATGGAGCATAAGGCTAGCTTTTTCTAAGGCCTTAAGGTTGTTTAGTTCACTAGACTTGAAGTGAACTAAATAAAAATCATTAGAAATCCCGTTGCGCGAATCGCCAGGACGGGATTTCATTTTCATTTTGATTACTTGGAGTGGCACAACTCCAAGTAATTTTGCCAGTTCATCTTTGATCTGATCCAGGGATTCACCACTGGGCAGTCCTTTCATGACAACCTTGAACACACGTTCA